TATATATAAGTTAGCATAAGGGGCCTATATATATATATATATATATATATATATATATATATATATATATATATATGTATATATATATATATATATATATATATATATATATATATATATATATATATATATATATATATATAAATATGCGAGCATATATGACACCTCTGCATCAAGTTCCTGAAATTTTTAGGCTTGTGAAATTTCAGGAACCAGACTGGAAAGGTCAACAAACTAAGTTATGCTAATTTCCATCCATCCATGCATTGCCTGCAGGGTCGTGAGGGGTGCTTGTGCCTATCTCCGGCTGTCTATGAACGAGGAGTGGGGTACACCCTGGATAGGTCGCTAGTCCATCGCAGGACAACACAGAGACTATCAGGACAAACAACCATTCACCAACAAACTTATGCCTAAGGAGAATTTAGAGAAGCCAGTTAACAGTTAACAGTCATGGTTTATGACTTTGAAAGGAAGCTGAAACGCAGGGGAGAACCCATGAATGCTCAGGGAGAACATGCAAACTCCATGCAGAAAGACCCTGGGCCGGGAATTAGACCCGGAGCCTTCTTTCTGCAAGACAGCAGTTCTACCCACTTCTCCACTCAGCAGGCCCCTTATGCTAACTTGATCAGTAAAAACAGAACAGCAAAACAGAAACATTGCAAAACAGAGGGGCTATTGAAGTTCTGAAAAAATATATTTATCTGCGAGGATAACAAGTTTCACTCTCTAACTCCTGGTAAAAGCCTAAACCCACATGAACCTCTTTCACCTAAGCAGTTTGGCAGAAACTTCTGAAGTCTTGCACACCATAACCTGTTAAAGATTTGGCTCAATTCATGTTTGTGAGAGAAGTTAAGGGGGAACTACCCATCGTGACTAGAACCCTTCCTCCACACCGGTACCATCATCCATCATCCCCTATTCTGTTGGAAGCAGAAGCTTTACCTCAAACATTTGCACATATCCTGACAAATGAGATAAATTATATAAGATTTGTATGAAACTGTATATACAGATACATAAATTATGACAAAAGAAAACATTAAATATCAGAAAACATTTACCAGTATATAGCTGTGTACAGTCAGGCAGTTTCTGAAAGACCATTAAAATTAATTAATTATATCTACCATAGAAAGTAATGTTTTGAAGGTCAACAGAGCCTAAAGTAGAGGGTGAAGTGGTGCATAGCAAATAAAATAAATGATGGTGAATGTTAGGGCTTGCTGTCGTTTACAATACTAGAATCTTCTGTCACAGCCGTTCCCTGTCCTTGTTAGGATGGCCTAGTTTTGTCGCAGAGGCTTTGCCCACCTCCTCATACTTTCTTTTTTTTTCTTCTGCTTTCCCTCCCGGAGGAAAATAAGTCTCTCTCTCTTAAACCTCAGGATCTTCACATACTTTATTTGTCCACTTTCTCATGTCCCCTTGGGCTCAATTAGAAACATTTTTCTATGCTTGAGATGTGTTATAGACAATTGTAATCTTTAAAGCCTCGATTTAAGAGCAAGATTTTATGAGTACATCTTCATGTACTGCTTATATTTGTTACATACAATTCTAAAAACATAAATATACAGATTCTTCAACTTCAGCTCCAATGGAAAATATTAGAGAACCTCTCACTACATGATAATACCCAACCCCAAGGAGAAAATTATGATATTCACCTTTGTGTTATCTACATGGAAGAGGCAATAATGACTTCCATTCATGTGTGTTAAAAAAATGCAAAAGGGGGGGGGGGGGTTCTTTGTATATCATAACTTGACTGAGATAACGTGTTGTGAATTCTCACTACAATAGTAAACTGATCTAAATAATCAGAAAAATCCATATCTGAAGTGTACATAGTTTTTAGGAATAACAATATTATATATATATATGGAGAATCTTCCAGCTCTGTTTTTCTTCTTGTGCTTCATTGCCATGAGATAACAATAAGCATTGGGTGGAATATGATATAAGGATTTTAGAATGTCGCAGATGGAGCAGAATCATAACAGGGATCTATGTGATGTTATTGGGACCCAGAGACACAAATAGCAATCTTACCAGTAAAACAATAGCCCTACCATTTTCTCCGGTGGGTCAAATATGCCCTTTGAAGGTCCTCCTCTGGTAGCAGAGACATCTCAGCTTACAGTCAGAGAGCTTCACATTCTGTAGTTTTGAAGCTTGATAATTTACTACTCTTTAGCCCTTTAGCCTGTTCTTTCTGTCACATCTTGAAACTGAGATTTTACATATATCTTCTTTGTTGGGGCCCCAGCCTTTCCTGAAGAGAATCACTTTCAATAGAGTTACCACTGGAACCCAAAATACAATGAAGAAAAGTAAATTTAAGGTCCTTATTGCTAACCTTGGAGCATTTGGCACATTCTGTCATGATCTTGGCACCATAGGCTGGGTTTCTAAGTGGTAGAAGTCGCAAAATAGCAGGGTGTTCAAATTATTTTCTCACTAAAGCTCTCTTCTACATCTCCTATCCCCCTTTCTGGGAGTGCAATCCTCTCTTTGTGGATCAATTTTTTCCATCCAACAACATTTCTCCAGCCCAAATGACATTCCAATATCCCTGCTGTAAATCCTGGTAGTGTGGACCACTGTCTGAAATAAAGTTAACAGTCAAATAGAACATCATAGATCTAAATGAATGAAATATTGCCTCTGAATACTTTGTTCTGTACAAAGATGAATTTGCTGACAGTCTTTGGTGCAACGTGACATTAGTGGAACAAACAAGACATGATGTCCAAGATGTGCTCAAACGTATTCATTTCTGGGGAATAGGTGGCCAGTAGCTTCAATGCCAACTGCTGACAAACTCCAGCCACATGGATCTACCATTGTCGTTCATTAGGACGAATCCAGGGCAAACTGCACCAGCATATGGTCTCACAAGGCGCTGAGGATCTCATCTTGGTACCTAATGAGAGTCATGCTACCTCTGAAGAGCACATGGAGGGCTTTGCAGCCGTCCAAAGAAATGTTGACCCACCTGCTGACAACTGAGAAGAGCACAGGGTGCCAGTGTTGAATCTGCCAATCCTGATGTTACATGGCAAATGCCAAGCTTCCTACACAGTGCTGTGCTGTGCTGTGAGCACAATCCCTCTTTGTGGAGGTCGGGCCCTAATGCCATCCTCATGGATTTGGTTTCTGTTTGTCCAGACACATGCGCATTTGTGGCCTGCTGGAGGTCATGTTGCAGGGCTTTGGCAGTGCTCCTCCAGTTACTCCTTGTACAAATGCTGAGTTAGCAGCCCTGCTGCTGGGTTTTTGCCTCCTACTTTTTCAGCCTCTGGACACTATGCTGACAGACACAGAAAACCTTTCTGCCACAGCTCCCATTGATATGCCATCCTGGATTAACCACACTACTAGAGCACTACCTGGACTATAGTGTCCATCTAATGCTACCACAAGTGTAAAAGCTACACCAAAATTCAAAAGCGACCAAAACATCTGCCACAAAGCAGAGGTAGTGATGGCCTTGGTTATGTGAGGTGGTGATTGTAGTGTGCTCTACTAAGCCCATAGATTACCTAATAAGAGAAAAGGTTTGCATAGCACACGTACACACACACACACACACACACATATGTGTGTGCGTGTATATATATATATATATATATATATATATATATATATATATATATATATATATATATATATATATATACACAGTTTATGTATTAGATGTCCAGGTAAAGGAGGTTGTAAAGTACTGGAAAGGCACATGAAAGAGGTCATCGCTGACCATAAGTTACCATTAAGTTAGCATTATGCTTTCATGCAGGTATTGAGTGTTCAGAGTGTTACCCTTTTAAATGTGCAGTAACAGCAGGATATTCATGAGACACTGTTTCCTAGCAACATAGTGTATGTACTGTGTATAAGCTACAGTAGCATGTCTTCTGGGATCAGTCGCCACTAAGACAAAAGATATCATCTGGAGTTTTTTATGAAAGGGATGCAGATTTTCAAATTCCTGAAGATGTTCTTTTTTTAGTTGAACATCCCACACAAATTTTGAACTCATACATTCCCAGCTTATTCTGACAAAATCATATTGGTGAGCTCTCTGTCGCTGGATCTGCCTCTAGATCTTTGCTTTTTACAGCAAATCAGCCCCTGTTTGTCATTGTATACAATGGAATCAGAGCACAACTGAGAGAACCCACTCAGTGGAGCCCAGAGAGAAAACACCACTGCCGTGCTTCTCTCAGTCCTGCAGTAAATTGATGCTCGATTCCAGACAAATGCACTCCTGCGTTCATTCTGTCACCTGAGGGCACTTGTATTGTTCTGTGTTCAGGTGCTTATGAGAAAAGGTCTGTGCCTAGTGGATAAACATTTCATCTGCTCAGCCACTCATATTTGCACAAGGACTGGCTTTGTATTGGTACTCCAGTCCATTTCCAGAGCAGTCAGATACCGCTTAAATAATCTATAGAATTAATTGGCTTTCATGACTCCAACTAACTTGTACTTTAGTGAGTATTCATTCAGCCGGGACAGCATATACAAATTTTTTTTGCAATTTTAGAAAAAATCTTAGCATTTACACTGGAAGCCACATTTACTTTGCTAAAAAATACTCAAAATATAATTCCCAACTGCTATTCCCAACTGCTATTTCATCCTTTCCCCCAAAGATTTTCACTTTTTTGCTGTAATATCCCATTTATCCATACAGATAAAACTTTCACCTTCATTAAAGAGATTTTATCCTTTAATCTGCAAAAAGCACATTTACATTTTTTCCAGGTACTGCTTAAATTGACATGATATACCGGTATCAAAAAAAAAACAAAAAAAAACACATAGGTCATGAAATTTAAAATGTGCTGCTTTTTAGACTCAAGCAGGCTCATCGAAGCACAGAGACACCAGCTGTTACTAGATACTTAGCTGTCAGTTCATGATTTGAAATAAAACTCCTTTGATGCTGAAATTCCAGATTAGTTCAGAAATCTTAACAACTCAGCTCACTTTCATACCTTTGTCTGTTTAATTTTCTTTTTTTTTTTACAGAATAGTTGAAATATAGCAACAAGATTATTCTGACATTTCTTCTGTCGCTGATATGCATTTTGAAATAGATTTCTATTAAATACATTCAATTATGCTGTTGTAAAGAAAAAGCATCCCAGTGCCACAAGTTGTCAGAAATTCCACACATTCTTTATTCTTTTATAATTCTAGGGCAAACTTTGCGTATAAATAAAAAGATTATTCTTTGTAAGTCTGTAAAGATTCAATCTTTACACCATTTAACATCAATTGCGCGCACTCAGCTTCTGCATTCCTTCTTTGTGCTGCCAATAAGGCAACAAACATCAAGTTGACAAATTTCTGTTAGAAAGAAATTATTCATCATAAAATCTAAAATATTCTTTAACTATAGCTACTACACATAGACAGTGGGTGTTTTCTGGAGAGTACTATCACATGGCAATTTATTCTTTAGAAAGTACATATGTAGTTTTAACTGTGTCTCACAGGTTGTTTTTGTTTAAAAAGCATAGATTTAATCTGATGGTCTGTACCTTTAAAATGAGTTGATTATCAATGTTTCAACCTTTTGTTTTGACTCAGGAGTTTGGTTTAAAGATCATTTCAACTTTAGAGATAAGTCTTAAATGTTCATTTTACCTGAGCAAATGATTAGTATTTTTATCAATCCATCCAATATGTTTTCTATATTTAATTTTATCATTTAAAAGGACAATGTTTTCAGATTTATTAAAACACTTTCATTTAAATGCATAAACCGCAGTGAGTCGTGACGGTATATTATGCAAAACCCTATAATTTCATGAGACAACTCTCTCTGTCTCTCTTTTGTATTGTGGGAGGATAATGTACACTACCCCATGTATATTTCTGTCATTGTGTACTTTGGACATGCAACAACTGTTATTTTCAAGCTTTTGTATGCAGGGCAAGTGATGACGGCTGCAGAAAGCTTGCAGCTATCTAAGGCCTTGGATTTTGGCAAGGATAAGTGTTGATGTAAAATTATTTTATGTTTTCTTACACTAATTCACAATATTATGGTGCCATTACCTGAGCCTAAAGTAATGTTCAAGGAACTAAAGTCATTTTTCTTTTACTTTCTTTTTTGCAAATGCAGACTTAATTTCTCTTTGTGTTGTAAAGCTGTATTCAGTAGAGAAATAAATCAGTTGCTATTAACAAGATGCTGAAATTAAACCCAGAGGTTTTCAAAGATTTTTAATAGAAATAATACATTTTGTATAAAAAATCTAAACATGCTTCACACACTTCTTAAGTTGTCTTGAGGTTTTACAAATACATAATCATATAGCCAGGCACTGCATCTTTTTTGTACATTTTCCTCAATTTTAGGATATGTCAGGACATAAAGCAGACATCATCAATCTATTTAATAACATACATTAACTTGCCATTTAATTTGGTCAGCACTCACATTTTATTCTGCAACACAAATGATGTTGAAAGTAATAAAAAGGGCATGAGAAGCAGCACTGAACTCACAAAACAAATGATTTCACAATGGTTTTCCGAGACATCAGAGGGTTTTCATATTTGCACAAAGCCAAATATTAATTAATTCAGCGAGCTTGGGGTGGATTGATAGAGATATAGCATATCTTTTGCAATTTGATTTTCATTTGTCAAAAAGCTTTACAACTTCCTTATCCTTCCCTTTTATCACGAGAGTGCCTGAAGACATGTATAATAATGACTTTTCTCTGTAGCTGGCCCATTATGGATATCATCCTCAGGGCAAACTGTACAGTCCCCACAAGGGCACTCTTTATCTTAATTCCCCTTCCTAATGGATCTGTACAGCTAAGCTTAGCCTTACACTTTTCTCATGTGACGAGGAGGGCAGCTGATGGCAGTGATGAAAGGGTCATCCTGGATGACGGCTAACAGTGAGAACTCTGCGGCAAAAAAACAGACCGAGGTCCACCGTTTCAAAGTACATACAAGTATGGGGAGGGCAGTGGTAGCCTTTCAGGCTAGCTGTTAATACAAATTATGATCTTACTTAAGCACAGATAAACAATCACTCACTGGACCTTTTCACCAATTGAAAACAGATTTTTGAACGTACAATAGGCTTGTGCCTAAACAATTTCAACAACGCTGCAACAAAGTTTAAAAGCATTCCAAAGATATTGTTTCTTCTTCTTTTTTATCCTTATTTTATTTGGTAAACAACACAATACAGGATGTTGAAACTGGCATGCTCAAAAACAGCAAAGATCCTCTTATGTAAGTGCGATCCTTCTTACACCCAGTTGGACCCTGAAAGAGGACAGAAAAACACATGTAGTCTGGTACATATCTGCTGCATTGTTGAAATGATCCCTGTTACCAAGGAGCTGAGTCATCCATCTGGAATGTATAATAAATAAAAACAAAAAGAAGCCAGTTTTAGAAATCCATGGATCATGTCCTCATGCCTTTTTGGTGTTGATTAATCCCTTGTGATGAATTTAAAGTATTTATATTTAACACTAAAAACATATTCTTGATTTGGATTCATTTCCAGTCAGCAATGCATGAGATGACAGATCCTTGTGAAACACGGCATAGCTGAAATGTAAACACTGAAGAAAAGCTCCATCCTTCAGTCTCTAGGCCTCTGCTGTGCAAATGTTTTTTTTTTTCTTTTTATGTGTGTAACCTTTTGCTGATTGACAGAGGATGGAGCCTTAAAATTGTACAGTTATCCTTCCCTTCGTCTCTTTTGTCCATCTCCGCCCCTCTTTGTGGTTTCTCCTCAGCGTGTCATGTCTTTGGGCAATGCTTGTGTGATCTCCCCTGCAAAATGACACTTTCTTTTTTCAGCTGTGAAATTCCACTGCTTGTATATTTTTTTTCTCCGCCGGGGTGGAAATCTTGATTTGAGATAAGAACCTTTGTCCCTTAGATTGCATGGTTGCTGTAACTGATGTAGGTTTGCTTTGTGGAAAAGGCTGAAAAAGAGAAAATAGGAGAAGGATCTGAGATACAGAGAAAAACAAAATCTGCAATGTGAAGCCTTTTTTTTCTCTTTTATTGGTGTAACAAATACATCATGAAATTTCAAATAACAGCTAAATAGTTTGTAGCCATCAGACAGCACTTGTAATGCTAGTAATTCATAAAATTCTTCATCTTCTGTGTTTATTCTATTCATAGTGTATACCTGTTACCTGCAACAGCATCACCTTCTTTTTCTGCAGCTGTCAAAATTCAGCTATCCAGTTGTGTCCCCAGAGCGTGTTAGCTGATTCATTGAGGTGGAGCAGATAAATCCTGACATATTGCAACCAGATCTCAGCTTTTGTGGGAGCTGCCCTAGACAGGAATTTTTCAATTTCATCCACAGCAGCGTTGACAATGACAAATGGTTCTTATTGAAATAGCCATGCACTGTACGGCCCCTGAAAACAGAAATCCCATCGGGATAAATTGCATCTAGCTATCAATTCTGTTTCTTTTGCGATTCGCACCACTTATTGTAACAAAAGGCCTGATTAAACCCTAGCAGACCTCGAATCTCGCTCAAAATTAATGCTGTTCTGTCTGTTTACATGTACACATTCTGTTGTATGGAGTGGTCTTACAGCATTGTGCTTTTGTTTCTGTGTTGCATTGTTGTACTTTCTCTTCTTTATAGATTTATACTTTTCTGAAAAAACTAAACAAACACTGTGTCAGCTCTTTTTTGTGTCTGCTAGAAAACCCTTCCACCGATGGTGCTGAAATAATAGACAAAGAGAAAAAAACCTTTAAAGTAAACAAAAAATAAAAAGACTCGATTACCTTTTCAGGCCAAATTTGGGCTGGAAAATGTAAAAAGATCTATGCAGAGAGGCAAGACTGATCAAGTTTTTATTTTTCCTGCCAGAGACAAGCAGAATGAGAGAGACATTTTATTCCCTTAATTGTTAATGTTATTTTTTCTACTCTTTTTGTAAGATTTCTTGGGTTGTCACCAATACCTAAATGCATTTAAAAGTTTAAAATAAAGTTTACATTTTTTCAGGAGGGCATGGCAGTTTTAAACTTTTCAAATGCTTAGAAATTTACAGGACAGCAGATCCACCAGAGCTAATGGTCACTTCTTGTCCATTTGGTTTCCACAGCCAGATCCATTTTTGTGCCACACTATCTTTGAAATATATTTTTCATTAAATGATTGATGCTTCTTTTTTATCTTCTGAGTTTTTGCAGAGAAATACATAATTATTTATTAAAAGAAATTTCATTTCTTTTAATATTTCAAGCCAAAAAAGCTCAATTTGAAGCTTCTCTGTTTAGTATCAACAGGATTGCAAATGGAACTTATTTTTGTTTTTGTTTTTTATGTGTATTAAAAACAGGACCCTCTTCAAATTCTGTTTTTAGACTGATTTAAATATAATATAATAAAAAAAGTAAGACCACCAGGCAAATTTGAATGTACATTTTACAAGTGTGTCTACGTTTTCTTTTCTTTTTTTTTCTTTTTTTTTGAAGTTTTAGAGCTCATCATAACACTGAAAAAGCAGTGATGAAAGTCACCAATTATATTCTCATGGGCTCAGATAATAGACTTGTATCTTTTCGTCTTGTTAGATCTTAGTTCTGCATTTGATACAGTTTAGTGATATGCTGGTTTGAATCTTGTTTGACATATTTCATTTTTTTTAGCTTAACGATAAATCTTGTTTATGCACCAGGGTTACCTGTGGAGTACCACAGGGATCAGTGCAAGGGTGAATTATCTTCTGTATATTTATGTTCCAAACTGGTAGAATTATTTTGCAGCATATGATTAATTACCACCGCTGTGCTAATATACTCAGCTTTACAGTATTTATCTATAAACTAACCCATTACCTAGACTACATGGTTGTCTTGCCAAACTCCTGATGAAGAGATCACAATATTCCTCTTAGTTTCTCTTCATTGGCATTCATACAGAATACAATTTAAAATCCTCTTTCTCACATACACTCACCGGCCACTTTATTAGGTACACCTGTCCAACTGCTCGTTAACACTTAATTTCTAAGCAGCCAATCACATGGCGGCAACTCAGTGCATCTAGGCATGTAGACATGGTCAAGACAATCTCCTGCAGTTCAAAGCGAGCATCAGTATGGGGAAGAAAGGTGATTTAAGTGACTTTGAACGTGGCATGATTGTTGGTGCCAGAAGGGCTGGTCTGAGTATTTCAGAAACTGCTGATCTACTGGGATTTTCACGCACAACCATCTCTAAGGTTTACAGAGAATGGTCCGAAAGAGAAAAAACATCCAGTGAGCGGCAGTTCTGTGGGCGGAAATGCCTTGTTGATGCCAGAGGTCAGAGGAGAATGGCCAGACTGGTTCGAGCTGATAGAAGGGCAACAGTGACTCAAATAACCACCCGTTACAACCAAGGTGGGCAGAAGAGCATCTCTGAACGCACAGTACGTCGAACTTTGAGGCAGATGGGCTACAGCAGCAGAAGACCACACCAGGTGCCACTCCTTTCAGCTAAGAACAGGAAACTGAGGCTACAATTTGCACAAGCTCATGGAAATTGGACAATAGAAGATTGGAAAAACGTTGCCTGGTCTGATGAGTCTCGATTTCTGCTGCGACATTCGGATGGTAGGGTCAGAATTTGGTGTCTACAACATGAAAGCATGGATCCATCCTGCCTTGTATCAACGGTTCAGGCTGGTGGTGGTGATGTCATGGTGTGGGGAATATTTTCTTGGCACTCTTTGGGCCCCTTGGTACCAATTGAGCATCGTTGCAACGCCACAGCCTACCTGAGTATTGTTGCTGACCATGTCCATCCCTTTATGACCACAATGTACCCAACTTCTGATGGCTACTTTCAGCAGGATAATGTGCCATGTCATAAAGCTGGAATCATCTCAGACTGGTTTCTTGAACATGACAATGAGTTCACTGTACTCAAATGGCCTCCACAGTCACCAGATCTCAATCCAATAGAGCATCTTTGGGATGTGGTGGAACGGGAGATTCGCATCATGGATGTGCAGCCGACAAATCTGCGGCAACTGTGTGATGCCATCATGTCAATATGGACCAAACTCCCTGAGGAATGCTTCCAGCATCTTGTTGAATCTATGCCACGAAGAATTGAGGCAGTTCTGAAGGCAAAAGGGAGTCCAACCCGTTACTAGCATGGGGTACCTAATAAAGTGGCCGGTGAGTGTATAATGTCCTAAATAACCAAGCTCAGTCTTATATCAGGATTCTGATCATTCATTTAGTTTCTAACAGAGCACTTCACTCTCATTCTACAAGTTTACCAGTTTTCCTAGAATTTCCAAAAATAGAATGGGAGGCAGATCTTATCAGGTTCTTCTCCTGTGGAACTAAATACCGGTTATAAGTAGCTGCTATTAACACATCTACTATTATTCGATAATCTAAAATTCTTGAATAAACAACAATTCACTCTCCTATTTTGGAAGAGGGATGTCAGCTTGATATGTTGATCACTGTCCGTCTGTGGTTAATGCTGTCCATCTGTGGTTAATACTGCACATATATCCACATCAACTATTAATGTTTACAGTGCTTCCATGGGCTTGTGCACAGACCAGCGTGGCAACCCGATGTGCAAGAATATCTCAGCCTTTCGACTGCTGAAGGTCAAAGAGACCAGTTTTCGCCATTCTGCCTCAATCTTCTTTTTTCTACTATTGTGCAATTTACATTAGCTCAACCCCTTACTTTATGTTCTCTGTTCTTTTCCTCATCATAGTAGCTTCATCCAATCTGCTCCTGTTTGTCTATGACACCATCCTGATGAGAAATATTAGCTTGGATGGTACCATCAATACCTTCAATTATAGGTTGTAGAGGTGAGCTTGTTTTTTTTTTGTTTTGTTTTGTTAGTTTGGTTCTTTTTCTCTCCTGGCCATAGCGGTGGGCTCTCTTTCCCACTTTGGCATGATGGCGGGCTCAGAGCACATCTGCTTGGCTTCTTCAGTGCTTCTACAGCTATGTTCCTTTTGTATATTTGTGTCTGTCTCCTTGAACCCAAACTTGGCCTTAGCAGTAGGCCACACTGACTCTGGTTACTGTATGATGGAAGTTTTTTACCTGTTAAAATTTGTTTTGTTTCTCCATTGTGGATGCATGCATGCATGTCGTGGAGTGATTGCTGTAGATTCATCACAACATGCAAGGAAATATTATCATTACAAGCTCATACAGGAGAAGCATTTCTAGTAAGTCAATAACTCAATGGCAGTCAGCTAGCTTTACTTAGAAACCTTTTACCAATCTGACATTATGATCTGATTGAATTGTCTCTGTAAAGTGCCGTGAGATGAGCCGGTGCTATATTAAGAAACTTAATTGAATATAATTAAATAAAAAAAAGAAAATATGGCTGAAACATTCAATGTCAGCTCTTAATACAGTATATCTATACTTTCACTGAGAATTTGTAATCACCTAAACCCAAAGACCTGTGTACATATATGTGAGCACTCTTACATTATTTCAGACCTCTGTGCTAAATCCAGAAAGCTTTTTTCTTCTGGAGTTCATTATGCAACAAAACAGCTGAAGCTCCCCATTACACAAACCAAGGTTCCATCAGATTACTTCAAATTATATTTCCCAACTCTTGTTGCTGCATCCTATCCCTCCACCTTTCACAGGGTCAACAGTAAGAACTCGATTCAGGGTGCAAGAATCTTGAAAGCATTATCGGATGCCAATATGTGGGTTAAGACACATGAATGGCACTGGTCAAATTGGAACTAAAGCCTTCAGGAAAACATCTACAAAAAACAGATGATACAAAAATGAAACAAACAGACAAAATTCTTTTATAAGACCAAAAACATATGCAGGTAAGGAGATCTGCATGTGTCAAACACAGTACATGTCACAAAATACTGTGATTTTGTTCACCTCTGTGAGGTAGCCTATATGTTAATTTATGCAAAGGATGTGGGCAAATGTATAATTCCCAGCAGAGACAAGGGATGTCAGAGGTCTGTATGCTAACTACACTAGCACTAGGAAGCATATGACTTAATCATCCTAGCTTCTTGTTACTGCCAGTAGTGTTTGAATGGCAACCTTGGATGCACTTCTGGCATCAGTGTCTTAACCTATTTGAGGTTTTCGAATTGAGCCTAAAACATGAAGGCGCACACATTTACATGCGTCACTCACACTAAATGTAAGGAAATGTTGTATTTTTATTAAAATCTGTAAGGTAGGCTTTGCCAAGAGTATACTGTATCTACTGTCACAAATTATGTTGGAAAACTCTGCCTCTGACATCTCTGCCTATTGAATTTTCCAAGCATCCTCCTGCATCCCTTCTTACTGCCAGCACTATTCAGACAGCACTAATCATGGCGACTACTGGCAAAATTCCACCTGGACTTTAATATCCTTACTGATTTGCGCAATTTGGATTGACTTTTTAAAATTACCCAGGCTTTTTGAAGGGACGATGCAGTATTGTTATTTAGTGACTGTTGCTATATTTAAAGACTTTTCAGGGCCCTTTGGCAACTTTTCTTAAAAATTGCAATTCTAGGGTTTATTTTCTGTGTTGGTGGCGGCTCTGGCTACAACATAAAAAAGTACCCTTTGCCTATCTTCAGTGAGCAGTGAGTAAATTAGCTCCTTCTTCCTCCAAAGCACAGAGAGGCAGACCAAGCAGAGCACCGTACCCGCAGTCAGAGAAAGACTTTACAGTGCTGTTAGAGACTTTTGCAACAGCATGAAACCACTGATCACTGAGTATACTGTCGTTAGTGAGCATTGAGGTCTGCTGCGAGTCCCTCCAAAGCACTGACAGGCAACCTGTCTGGAGCAAACCTGCAGACTGACTCCAGTCGGAGAACAATGAGTGACTGTCCT